AAGACCTAATAGTACTATTATAACCTGTACAAGGCTTAAAAATTATATAACAAATGCAATATCTGTATATCTCTGCTGTAAGACTTTGCCTTAATGTATTATTTTTTTTTTGACTATATGACTAATTCTAGGTATATCTTTAGCCATAGACTAGTCAACAAACCTTGTCATGTGAAGTAGCAATATATTTGTTACCAAACAAAACACATAGTTGCAATTTACTAGGTCAATCGAATTTGAAAGGAGTAAACAATACTGATCTTTTGATGGTGTAAGCTGTTTTGCCTACTTTTTTTAAAAATTTTGTTGTAAATACAAGTGGGTGATGGTAAAGAGTATAGACCTTGTACTTTTCTTAAAAAAGAATATATTTTTTGCCAAAAATAATAAGACAAGTAGATCTGAGTACACTGCTAATATTCTTTTTAGTAAGTGATAAACTCTGAACTTATTAGCAAGTAGTATATGAGAACTACTTTTAAATAACAAGTGTCATCTTCACAGTAAGTGATAAGCTCTAAACCTATTAGCAGATAGCATATAAGAACTATTTCTAAATAATAGGTGCTAGTTTATAGTTCTTATTAGTTGTATGTCCTTCTTTTTTAGTATAGTTTTACTGTTTTTGTTAAAAATTTTTATTTTAAAAAGTTGGTCCAAGTAATCATCAAAAAGAGTATCTCAATTTTATTGAAAACCAAAATTTTAATAATTCAAAATTTTATTATAACAATCTAATTTAATTTTGTAAAAAAATATTTAACATATTGTATAATCTTATATATAACTTTATAATTTATTTTAATTTTATATAAGTTAAATATAGAGTCTTTGCAGTAAGGGCCGAAACTTTGAAATATATAAATTTGATATAATCATGTTATGAAAGAACTTTCATCTGATTGGCTAATGTAAATCAATTGCTCAGGTAATTTATTTATACACTTTAGAGTACTTTTTAAAAATGTAACATTTTACTAATAAAAAATCATTGTAAAAATCATTCTTGACTTTGAACAAACGTTAATATACACTATACAAAAGAATCTAAAAAAATCCACCTTTTGATCTACTTTACTAAGAAGACATCATCTATTAGACCATTCAAAATTATACTGTAGAAGGGAGATAACTAGAAATAGTTTCATCTAAAACTACTTTATTTTGTTAGATTTAAATAAATTTTTTTATTGCCAACTATTTGCTTTAAATAGGTACAAGTGCTTTAATAGTAGAAGATCCAAAGTTTAATGTTTAAATTTAGTCTGTTCTTGTAGTATATTTGGTTTTGTTAACTGTAAATTAAGCTTTGGTTTATATCTAGTATTAGTATATTATTTAGATTTATTGATAATAAATATCACTATATATATTTCTATCTATTCTATATCCTATCTATTCTATAAAATATATATGATAATTCTTTTGTGTTTATTTATTAATTTGTTGGCTTCTTTATTGAATTTTTTTTTATTTTCTATTAATTAAAACAATAAATTTTTTTTAAAAAAGAAATAACTTCATTTAACTATTGGTAAAATTACTACCTCTAATTATTTAGGATTGGAGTATAAGTATTAAGAATTATTGGTTTTTTATATAATATAATTTAGAGCTAATATAATATCCCGATCTTAGTTCTCATAAGGTTTTCAAGGATCCTTGATATTTTTATTTAAAGCACTTAATACTATTTACTTAATATATTTTTGAGATATAGTACTATTAATACACTACTGGTGATTTTTACCACTGGTTAAAATTAGCAATTGCCTTTTAAAAATTATATATTTTGATTGGTTAATTATACAGAGAATCATAAGCTGATTTACAAAAATTAACCAATTATATGAATATCTTCCTATGAATAATTATGTTTATTTTTTCGAACTAATCCGGGTTCATCAAAAATTTTATGATATGATTGGTTAGTTATATTAGGTAATCTTGTGATTTGCGAGTCTTCTAAAAAGATTTTTTTTAAATATCTTGATTTTTTATTATGTAAACCAATTTCCATTTATAATTGAAAAATATAGACTGATTTGAAATTTATTTGAATCTTGAAAAAACTTATTTTTGATTTTTGGGACCCTTTCTATTGCAAAGGCCTTATATGTTTGAACATTCTTGAATTTGAACATTAGACATTGCAAAAAAGGCTATTGGCTAAAAACAAAATTAGACCGGAATTACTCATAATTTCACTAATGAAATCGCAGCCGCCTATTAAGTAAAAATTGTTCCTGGGCCAATTTTACCAGAACATAATGCGGGCTTATTTTTTAAAAATTTCTACTTTTGTAATGAAAAAATTAAAAAGTTAATTCCGGCCGGAAATTAGTAAATAATTATGTAATGGGGCCAAAATTTTGAAGATCCTCGGCCGTTAGCTAATCAAAATCAATACGTAGTATACGAAAAAATGCAGATAAGATCTGAATAGTGAAACGCGAAAAAAAAAACGATGGATTTTGAAGATGTACAACAATTTCCACCATATATACCACCCAAAGGCTGGAAACAGAATGAAAATTTAAATCAAGAAAAATCAAAATTTGACATTGACGACATTAATAGCGATGAAAATGAGATATGGATATTCAAACTTCCACCAAATATTTCTAAGAAAGATCTTGTTGGAAAGACACTAACTTTTCCAAAAGGTTCTCCAAAACTTTCGAATAAAGTTGCAAAATTCGAAAAGTCAGTTCAAATAAATAAAAAGAAAGAGGCTACAACTTTAAAATACAACATTCAAGAACTACCGATAAAATTGACTCAAGAATTCGAATTATTATTACCAAGTCAAAAGGACGACGATGAGTTAGTTTTATCTAATAAAAAACCTGCAAAATTTTTTAATATAACTCGAAAATTTAATCGACCAGATCTTACAAATAATATTGAGGCAATTTTGGAGAATTATCAAAAAATTCCTCAACAACCACAGCACCCACCGGAAACATTCATTCCAAGGTTCATCACAAATTTTCCTGAATTTACTAATCAACATATAAAGGAAGCCGCCGAGGAAAAAAAAAGATTTGAAAAAAAATTAGATGACTGGCAGTTTAATAATTGGAGTGAAGAAATAATAAAACATATTCAAATCAGTAGAAAAGCTTATCGTGAATGGAAAAAAAATTGTATATTGGAAGTAAATAAATCTAAACAATTATTTGCTAAGAGACTTGCAGAAAAAAAAGTAATAATAGACGATGGTCAAAAAATAGAAAAACGAAAATTTGATTCTAATGAGGATGAAATAGAGGATGAGAGTGAATATTCAAAATCTATAAAGAAAAAAAATGATTATGTCAAGAAAAAGGGAAAATCCTCTTCTGCATCTTTTAAAATTTCAGAATATCAAGATTTATTGGATTATGACTCGGATGCTGATATTTTGGCTGAAGTTGCAGAAGAGGAAGCTGCGTTTGCTAAAATGGCGTCAGATCAAATGCTTAAAGAAGAAAAGAGAGCTAAAGAGTTGCAAAATGCTGACGGAGAAGCGTCTGAAATATGGACTCCTGCTCTTGTCACGTACCCTAAGTATGAGCCACCAACCACTTGGTGGTCCAAGATGAATGATGAAATTCTCGATGAAGTTGAAAAAATAAAACTAAAACCTTGCAAGAAAAAGAAAGATTAGACGGGGGCACACTTACGTCAAGAAAATCCTGGGTTGTAGATCAATAAAATCTAGCTTCTTTTTTTCAAAAACTTGCAAATTTACAAAATTTTTAAAAATTTATTATTATTATAGCGGTCACAGGAAATGTCTTGTACACTGCTGATCATTATTGGTCAAATAAAGATGTCGCATCTAATTTTAATATGTATATCGATAAAAAAATTTTTTTT